CAGAAGAACAAATTTTGAGGTCAGCCTCAAGAACTTAGGCTCTAAGCAACTCAGTGAGACCCTGTCTTAAAATAAAAATAAAAAGGGCTGGGTGTGGCTCTGTGATAAAATATTCCTAGGCTAAATACCCAGTACCACAAGAAAAGAAAAAAAAATTCAGTTCTTCCACAGTGATTAAGTAGTGTACTATACTATGGAGCATGTGAAAACAGTTTTTATTTTTTGTTTTCTTTTGACTTCTTGAAACCTAACTGGATAGAAAAACTTCCTGTTCAGAAATATGAAAATCTTGTTCAGTATACTACAAATCTCCCAATATTATTTAGCCCATAATCTCCTTTAAGTTTTTACTTCAGGAGTATTCCCACTATTACCATTTCTTACTGTGCATTTCTTATTTTTTACTGTCTTTCAAGAAGTCTAAGGGGCATAGCTCCATTTCAGCTATTTATCTTGTGTAACTCCAAATCATCCCATAAGAAATTATACCCAGTCACACATTCAGGCTACTATAATCAAATACCATAAACTGAGTAGCTTATAAGTAGAAAATTATTTCTCACAATTTAGGAGCCTGGGGGATCCAAAATCAAGGCACCAGCAAGACTCAGTGTCTAGTAGGGCTCTCTTCCTCATGGAGGGTGCCTTCTAGTTGAGTCCTCACCTGGCTGAAGGGCTGAGTTATCTCTCTGGGGTCTCTGTTATAAGGGTACTGATCCCATTTGTGAGGGCATGTCCCTATGACTAATCACCTCCTAAAGATTCCACCTTCTGATACTGTCACTCTGGATGTTGGGTTTCAACATAATTTTAAAGAGACACATTCAGACCAGAGTGTGAACCTTTAGAACAGGGGTTTCTGAATTTTATTAGCTTTATTACCATTTTGGCTGAATAACTGTGTGTTCGGGTGGGGGATTGAGGATGTCCTGTGCACTGTAGGATCTTTAGAAGGACTGTGGCGTCTATCTATTAGATGCCAGTGACAAGCCCTGCTCCCTCACCAGTTGTGACAACCAAAAATGTTTCCAGAAATAATTTAATTGGCATTGGTTGAGAAGTAATGCTTTAGACAAATTATTAGAAGAGTTTTCCATACTATACTTTTCAAGATGAATAACCACTGACAGGGATGATGATTCAGAGGCCATTTGAATCTTCTCACTAGTTACTGTGATATTTTTCTTATATAAAAATAAAAATACAATTGCAGTCCACTGTGACCTGTTCTGGTAAGTCAAAAGAAGATTTCTGTAAAATTTACTGATATATAAAAATCTTAAGTAACAGTGACAGGGATATGAGAGATCAGGGATGACACAAGCTAAGACAGCTAAGAAGCAATTTACATCAAACCAGACTATTAATTACCTTTCATCATTGTGACAAAATACCTGAGACAACCAACCTAAAAAGAGGAAAGGCTTATTTTGGCTCACCATTTCAGAGGTTTCAGTCCCTGGTTGACTGGCATATTACTTCTGGGCCTACTATGAGGCAGTATGTCATGGTGGGATGCATGTGGTAGAGCAAAGCTATTTATCTCATAGTGGCCAGGAAGTGGGGGAGGGGTGAGGCTGGAGTCCTAGTAGTATTTTCTTAAAGGATACACCCTAGTGACCTAACTTCCTTCTACTAGGCTCTACCTCCTAAAGATTCCACCACTTCCCAATAATGCCACAGTTTGGCAACCAAGCCTTCAACATACAGGCCTTTGGAAGATGTTTACCCTACCTATAGCTTTTTTGCCTCTGGCCCCCAAAAGCTCATGTCCATCCCGTAATGCAAAATCATTTAGATCTTTCTCTAAGAGTCTTCAAAATTTAAATATTCCAGAATCGCTCACCTTCAAGACTCAAGGCAAAGTTGGCTATGAGTTCCTGCTTAAAAAAAATTGATATATAAATCAAAAAGTTACACACTTCCAAGATATAGCAGCATAGGGTAGACATCCCTGTTCCCAAAGTGAGGAGTAGGGGCATAGATAGGAAAGATCAGACCAAAGTACCAAAACCCAGCAGGAAAACACTGAACCATAAGTCACCATGTCTGGCATCCAGGGCATGCAGTGGCAGACTGTGGGATCCCAAGGGCTTGGGCAGTCCTGCCTCTGTGCCCTTGCTGGCTGTAGCCCACATGGCTACTCTCTTGAGCAGGCTCTGCTTGCTGCCTTCAGCTTACCTCAGCAGGCATTCAATGTTCCAGAATCTTTAACTTCCTGGGGTTTCCACTGCAGCTTCTGTTTATTCTCACAGCTTCAAGCATCTCTTGAGGGCTGCTTGCAGGGACTCTCACCTATCACACAATGCTTGGCCTCTCAGGAATTCCTTCTAAATTTTGGTGGAAGCCTGTGTGACTCCACAACTCTTGCATTCTGCATGTCTGCACAGTCAGCATTTGTGGAAGACCCCAAGGTCTGCTACTAGCATGAGCTGTATGTACCAGGACCCACTTGAACCATGGCTGCAGCAGCCTGAGTACCTACTCCCTAGATGGCATTGTGTGAGCAGCGTGTCTTTCTGCTTTTCCTTTTCTTTTTGCTCCCAACTCTCACTGTAAATCTGGCTAAAAACAGCCAGCAATACCCACACCAAAGCTTGAGCCTGAATGTTGTGCTGCTGTGAAATTTCCTCTGCCAAATAAACTAGCCCATCACACTTGAGCTCTGCCTCCCACAAAGTTTTAGGCATGGACAAAATGAATCCAGATTCTTTGCCACAATATAATACGGTGGCCTCAAAATCCAATTCCAAGTAGAGTCTTTATTTCCATTGGAACCCCCATAAGCATATACTGTCCACATTTCTATCAGCATTCTGGTCTTCTGAGACCTCACCTGTTAATCTGTTTATAGCATTCTAGGCTTTCTCTACTTCTCCAAACTTTTCCAAATTCTTCCCACAATCCAATTTCAAATGCTTCTGAATGGCACTGTCAGGAATAATCATAGCAATGACTCTTTTTTTGTACCAGGGATTGGACCCAAGGATACTAAACCACTCAGCCTCATCCCTGGCCCTTTTTACTTTGAGACAGGGTCTCACTAGATTGCTTATAGCCTCACTAAATTGCTGAGGCTGGCTTTGAACTTGTGCTCCTTCTGCCTCAGCGTTCTGAGCCACTAGGATTATAGGCATGCACCACCACACCTGACCAAAGACTTGATTTCTTGATACTCATTTTCTGTATTATTTTTCTGTCACTGACAAAATACCTGAGATAATAAACTTAAAGGAAGAAAAGATTATCATGGTTTCAGTCCATGGTCAATTGTCATGTTGTTCTGGGGGCCTGTAGCAAGGAGCACATCATGGTGAGAAGCATGGGGTAGAACAAAGCTATTTATCACACAGTGGCCAAGAAGCAGTGAGGTGGTTGGTGGGAAGGGCCTAGTATCCCAGTATTCCCTTAAAGGGCACACCTCTACTGTCCTAACTTCCTTAAACTAGGCTCTACCCCTAATAGCCTTCCAATGACATCACAGGCTGGCAACCAAGCCTTCAACACACAGGCCTTTGGGGACACTTATCCAAACTGTAGCACAAACTTTCACTCATTAAGTGGCATTAAACACTTGCCTATAGGAAAAATGTAAATTTGTCAGGGTCTCCTCTTCCCTCCAAAGAGTGTTGACTTGAAGATAGATGGGTTACTTACTACAAATAAATAATGCATTTACTATCTCAACAGCCAAGAGTTCTAAATTTAACACAAGGTTTCTATCAGTGTTTTCTTCCTGGTTACAGGTGAGTCAGGGACATTTGGAGATGATGTACTATACTTACTGATATATACTGTACTAGTAAAAGGCTAAGACTAGATTACATCTAAACATCCTGCAACTCCAATATTCTATTATTGTAATTGTTGAAATGAAAGAAAGCAAGTGTTAGATATGTAATGATATGCTTACACCAAATTAGAATACCATCTTTAAGCTTAGAAGACGGTTTTCTCATAGAATGTTCTAGACATAGACATGCTTTTAAAATTTTTAAAATTTATGTAATTACAGTGAACTCTTCTGAGATCCAGGATAAAGAGATGCCACCATAGTTTGTATAGATGGTTCTATTAATTGTGGGGAATATGTACAAGGGGGTTGAAATTAATGTTAAGGACATGCTCCTGCACGTTGACAAGAATTGTCTGGTATGTGATTTTACAATGGAAGGAAAGCTATAAAGATAGTTAATAAAATATTTACTTGGTTTAAACATCTAAAGAATAAAGCCTTAAAGGAGTGTCCAATCTCCACTTTTCATTTATTAAAAATGTTGGTTATAGAATAGCAGCATCATTTTAAGTCACTCTTATACTGAGTAATCAGCTTACTTATGAGAGCAGAATACACTGAAGATTAGCTGTTATTATTAAATACAGGACAGAAAGAATTTTTAAATGTATCCCTTAGCCTGGCACAAGTGGCACACACATGTAGTCCCAGCTACTCAGGAGGTTGAGGGCAAGAAGATCACTTGAGCCCAAGAGTTTGGGGCCAGTCTAGGCATTTTATCAAGATCCCATCTCAAAAAAAAAAAAAAAGTATACCTTTACCAAATCCTGAAAAAGTTTTAAAATATATCTTCAAACACAACTAGAATTTTCCAGTATTCAAAAGATGAGCTTGGGTTGGAGGTATAGCTCCGAGGGTAGAGCACTTGCCTAGCATGTGCCAAGCCTTGGTTCAATCCCCAGCACCAAAAACCAACCAACCAACCAAACAAACAAAAAACCAAAAGATGAGCATCACTATTGATTACAAACCAGGAAAACACTAGATTTTCACTAGTACAGTTTGGATAATATTTTGCTGTTATTTTTAGTCATTACTTCAGCCATGCAGGTAGATGTACTAATGAATAATCTATTAGGCAAACCAATGTTAGCAACTATTAATCTGCTGCAGCTTACATCATATTTTAAACACAACTTTATATTTGCCTAAGTGTAGACATGCCATGATAGATATATGTTTTGTAACTAAATTCAAACCCTTCAAAGTTTCACTTATTTGTATTTCCAATATGAACTGGTACAATTATATTTGCCCATTCATAAATAACAGGAACAAAAAGACCCAGAGATCCAATAATTGAAACCAGAAGAAAAGTCCACAGAAACATCCGGTCAAGAACCTGGGCTATGAATTTCCAATCTTCAACAACCTGTTACAAAAATAAAAATAAAAACACATTAAAATAAAAGTTGTGTAGATATTTAAAGATATAACACACTAAGTTAGAGGGCAATCATTTACTGCCTCCAAACAGTATGACCTTAGGGTTCAGGGACAGAACACCCTGGTGGTCTATAACAAATACAACCTGTTCAAGCTTGAAAAGACATTATAAAATTTGTTCCTTTACATATCAGCCTATAATACATTACGAGGTTTGAAGATTTTTTTAATAAAGTGCCTATACTACTTGGATGTTTTGCAATAAACTAAAAAATAATGTATTTTTAGTACTTAAGGTTTTTTAAGTATTTATTTTTAAGTTGTAGTTGGACACAATGCTTTTATTTTATTTATTTTTATGTGATGCTGAGAATCGAACCCAGAGCCTCCAATGTGCTAGGTAAGCACTCTACTGCTGAGCCACAACCAAAGTATTTAGTTTTTTTCTATTAACTTAATCTTGGCTAGTAGTTGCAAGAATGTAGTGTAATTTTTTGAGAGACAACGGCTTGAGGTTAATTTTATATCAAATTAAAAGTTGGTTCAGAATAATCCACATTAGAAAGCTATAATCTTCTCCCCCAACCACCAGCAGTACATTTTTATACTACTTTTGTACTACTTTATTGACTTTTGGATTTCCTAGGGACTATTTTTATCTAAACTCATGAGGATGGAACCACTGGCTCTGGATCCAGCTTCAGGGACACCCTTTAGGAGTCACCTGGAGGGAAGGGCCAGCTGAGCCAGCCACTGAGCACTAGAAGCTCCCTTTCCTAACATGCCATTTCCTTGGGGGTGGGGTGGGTGAGAGGCAGGGTTTCCCTCTCCCTTAGCCTCTGTGAAGCACAGGGTCCTTACAGAAACAATGCCCCCAACTTGTGGGATAGTTTAGAATTCAGAGGATTCTAAACACACCACTACTTCTCTGCTTCTAAGTTTTGTCTTGGAAATAAAACTTATTTCCTGGTCCTAGTTTATAACCCTTACTGTTTTTGCACAATTCTTTGTAGACATTTATTAAATTCCATCTCAGTCTAAATCATTATCTAAAATAAATCCACTTTTCAAGACTCCATTCATTGGTAGCTTCAGACCTTATAAACTAATTTAATTATACTACCATCAAATAGAAACTTTACAAATCCACAAGCATTAAAAGTCATTATAAGTGCCAGGCACAGTGGAGCATGCCTGTAATCCCAGTGGCTCAGGAGGCTGAGGCAGGAGGATTGCAAATTCAAAGCCAGCCTCAGCAACTTAGCAGGCCCTCAGCAACTCAGAGAGACCCTGTCTCTAAATAAAATATTTTTAAAAGGCTGGGGACATGGTTCAGTGTCCCTGGGTTCAACCCCTGGTACAAAAAAAAAAAAAGTTCATTATAAGTAAGCCAGGTGCAATGGCATGTGCTTCCAGTCCCAACTACCAGGGAGGCTGAAGCAGGTGGATCTCTTAAGCCCAAAAGTTTGAGGCCAGCTTGGCAACATGGCAAGACTCTGTTTCAAAACACAAAACAAAAAAAGTTTACTTTTGGGAGGAAGTTTTTTTTTCCTCTCACTCCCAGTCCCCATACTAGGGATTACACCCCACCCCCGCCCCCAAGCCATATCCTCATATACCACTAAGCCATATCCCTAGCCCTTTTTTAAAAAATATTTTTTTAGTTGTAGTTGGACATAATATCTTTATTTTATTTACTTATTTTTATGTGGTGATGAGGATCGAACCCAGCACCTCACATGTGCTAGGTGAGCATTCTATCGCTGAGCCACAGCTCCAGCCCCATTATTTTTTACTTTGTGACAGCGCCTCACCAAGTTGCTGAGGCTGGCCTTGACTTATGATCCTTCTGTCTCAGCCTCTTGAGAAGCTGGGATTTGTAGGTGTACACTCTGGTGCTGGCTGTTATTTATTAGATTTGTTCCATTTCCTACCTACACCTGCTAGAAAACTTTCCATTAAAAACAAAAGCTTTAGAAATTAAAATTTATATAATTTTTATGGGACCATGTAAAGTTAATTCAATTATGAAAGTATCGTTATAGTCATAGCTTTAAAAACATTACACAATAGAAATGAAGAAAGACTGACACAATTGAAAATTTCAAACATTTTGGGGAAAAAAAACCCAGTTCAATATTACCACATTGGTAAAATGTATATATGTTCAGCTCTTATATTTTAAATGTTAATTAACCTTAAATAACAACAAGTGAAACTTGTTTTCTATAATAAAGTCTTAAGCAAATTAAGCATATTATTAAGAACTATTACTAAGTTTCATATGAACACTTTGAACTATAATAACTAATACACAAGAACACCTTACTCCTTTTAATTTTATTAAAATTTCTTATTAATGAACCACAAAAAATTTTTTTCTAGGAAAATATCTTGACTGTATTTTTAAAGAGCCTACATTAGGCTCCTTCTTTTAAAAATAAAAGTTTTGATAAATTATAATGCAGTTGTGCCTGCTGATTATCACTGAATTCAGAAGCAAAGTTACTGAAGATAAAATTAAGACGGTATCTTAATTAATGTCAAGATTACTATTCCTTTGAATGCATACCAATAAAATTTCTTTTAAGTTACCCAAGATGCTGCTGGGAGAAATGGAGAGAAGTATAGTTGCCCCAGAGATGTAGAGATGCCCCATTTTGCCAGGGTTTAATGGAAATGGGTTTTAATATTTTTTTTTTAGGATTTTTTTTTTTTAGTTGTTGATAGGCCTTTATTTTATTTATTTATATGCGGTACTGAGAAACCAACCCAATGCCTTACACTTGGGAGGGAAGTGCACTACTGCTGAGCTACAATCCCAGCCCCTTAATTGTTTCTTTGTTTTTTTTTTTTCCATACTGGGCATTATGGGGATTAAACCCAGGGTCTTGCACAGCAGTAGGCAAGCACTCTACTGCTGAGCTACACCCCCAGACCATAAGATTTTTTAAAAAAAATAGCAATGTATCCCTCAGTCTATGCTTAGCCTTAATGGTCATGCTGAATCATTACAGTCCCCTCTTAGAATCCAAGCAGAACTGCATTCATAAACACATGTCACAGACCTCACGGACATCATTCTCCTTCATGACATGTCTTGTAATGTAGCGAATAGAATCAAGTGCAGCTTCCAACGTGTTTCTTGAAGATTTTGGTTCACTACCACTCTCGGTTTCCTTTCTTTGAGTGAAGTACCTGTCTACGTGACTTCTCATGCAAAGCAGTTTGGGAAGCTTGTGAAGAAATATCTTGCGGACCCAGGGTGCCATAGCGTTGTGTGTTGAGGAAGAGCGATGGTGAATGTTAATGGCGAAGACAGTCACCATAATTGATAGGGTCACAAAAATCATGGTGAACACCAGGTACTCTCCAATCAGAGGTATTACTTTAGAAGAGGAGGGTATGATCTCTTCAATAACCAGAAGGAAGACAGTCAGCGAGACAAGGACCGAAGTGCACAGACTAATCTTTTCACCTTCATTTGAAGGAAGATAGAAGACAACTACTGTCAGAAATGAGAGCCCAATACAGGGTATAATAAGGAACAAGGTATAAAAGAGAGGCAGTCGCTTAATTACAAAGGAGTAAGTGATGTAGGGGTACCAGCAGCAGCTGTCAGTTCTGTTTCCTTTGCTCCCCGCTGCACTCACAATTTCCCATTCTCCATTATCAAAAAAATCTGTCTTGTCTACATCTTGGTCCTCTAGGATTATATCAACCTGAGATCCATCGTACGTCCAAGAGCCAAATTTCATGGAACAGTTTTGGAGATCAAATGGGAAAAATGTGACATCAATAGTACAGGAACTTTTGTAGTTTGCTGGCTGTGTCCAGGTGACAGTGCCATTGTACCTGACAACTGTTTTTGTACTGGCCCCTTCAAAACGTCCATCTGCACTAAAATAAAAACATGTTCAGTAACAAAACAGAAAATACAACTCAATCATGCACTGTATAAGCCAAAAACAAAAGAAAGCCTATAACTGACAGCATGAAATATTTTAAAATTACTACCCTTCATATATACCTGCTGTACATAGGGGACGCTGCTCTAGAGATCTTCCTTAAACATCTGACCTTACTGGAACTGAACAACTTCTACATGTTTTCCAGGACTGAAAAATCCATACTTTTCATTTTGCAATTTTAGCGGTTGAAAGAACCTCACTTTACACACAAAATAAAATCAGGCTATTTATACACAGGACATGCACAGAGCCAGAACCTGAATTCACATTCCTAGACTCCCCACATGGAGTTCTTTCTTCTCCACCACAAACACTGGACATTTTCCACGGTACCAGGAAAAGAATGCTCCCCCTGGGCACAGCCCTGGAAGACAGCAGTGCTTGTTGGGCTCTCCCACAAGTAAACTCCTATGCTGAAGAAGCCTAGTAAGAAGCTGTACCCCAACACATGATTTGTTTCAAAATTGTGTTTATCTTCAGATTCATGTATCTTTTATACAGTACTCTGTAATATATCTATGTGTGGTATAAAAAAGTCTTTAATTACTGAGAGTAATTAAAGAAGGTTGTAGCACCTTACCTCAAGCTTGTTTACCCTTCTCTATCAAGAAACATGGAGGTGCACCAATAAAAAAATATGTGGAAAGAAAAAAGGGAGGTCAAAAGTTTCAAAAGATTATTTTTACACAGCATTGTGTCAAATGCCTTTTTGCAAATAAGACAAAGTACTTTAGAATGAGCACAAATTTCCTGATTTTCCCCAGAGTGGTCCTAGAATAAGAAATGAAACTGGTACCCAAAATTTTCCTCTCCCCCCAATTAAAAAAATCCTCCAAATATACCTAGGCAGGATGCCTATAAAGATGGGTTAATAATTAACCCAATATTCCTTATCACAGGAAAATGACAATACAGTATTTAAACAAAATTAGAAGGATGCTTTTGAACATAATATGTGACCACAACTAAAAAACAGACCCCAAAATCTGGAAATCTGCCAAATATGTGGAGGATAAATAGGAATGTCACACTGCTTTGGTGTGAAGCCCTACCCGACTACGTGAGAGCTGTGTGATCTTAAATAAGGTGTAACTACCCTAGGCCTCCATTTTCTTATCTTAAAATGTATATACTCATATCCAATGCATGAGGTTATTGTGAGAATCAAATTACATAAAGCACATAAGGCATTTACTAGCACATTCCAGACACATGGAAGTTCACCATATGTGTAAACCAATAACTGTGGTTATGTCTAATTTCCGCCATTCCTTACACCTTCCTGTACTTCCCAAACCTTTTTCAAATTTCAGAAATCAGAGAACACTTTTATGATAAAAAATAGTACACACAAGAAAAAAAGGAGGAGTCACAGAACCTCTTAGTAGGTTTAAGAAACAAAGGAACATAAAATCTAGTCATATATAGCTCAACGATTTTCAAAGGGGAACAAATGACTGCTGCCTGATAGTAATACACGTTTTCTTTCAAAAATATAAAATGGCATTTAGAATACAACTTACTTATCAAACAAAACAATGTCTGGGGTCCAGAGGGAGTCTGAAGGAACACGTATAACTTTTATTCCACCATAGTCATCAGGGTTCCATCTTAATTTTACATCTGTCCATTCCTTTAAAATGAAGAAATCTGCCTCAATCCCAAACCAAATAATAGTCAAAATAGTGAAAATTATACTCTTTGTCAAGTCCTGAAATTTTAGACATGAAATCATCTTTGCCCCCAATACAGAAAACTCAACTCCATCTCTTTGATGTGGGCACTGAAGCCCAACTTCTAGGTAGTGGCTCTGGCTATGGACTCAGGGCTCATGGTCCTCATGAGACACAGGAGACAACCAAAGCTGATGCACTCATGGCTCCATGCAGCACCTCTTCTCCCACCAACTGACCATGCCCAGGACTTGAAGCCATGGGCCCCCAAGGTTCAGAGGAAACATTCTCTTTTCCCAACTGTATCGTTACTCAATTTGGCTGGACTGGTCTGTGCAAAGGGGATTTGGATTTATTACACATTCCGCATATTTAAACACCATATCAGCCTCCATGTAGTAACACTTCCGTGATCATATCAAGGTAAGAGTCACATGCCAAGAAAGGCACATCTGCTTTTTAGGAGTTTCGGGTTAGGGATGTTGGTAATAGGCATAAGAATTAGGAATGGTGGAATAAACAAAAGGGAAGCACTCATCAAACTATTGAGGGCATACGTATGGTAGCCCAGTAAAATGGGGACCTTCATATAAAAGGCACTCTATGTAAAAATAACGTATTACATTCTTGTCCACTCCCATCTCAGAGTTAAAGCCAACATCCTTGCAGTGCGCTATGAGCCACTATTCCATTAGTCTCCCATTACTTACCCCTCACCATGTCTCACTCATTTCTAGCCACATTGGCCTTGCTACTCCTTTAAGTGAGACACATCCCAGCCTCAGGGCCTTTGCACTTACTGGTCCCTCCACCTGGAATGTTCCTCCCCAGGCACCCACAGGGCTTTCTTCTTCTCCTCCAAGTCTTTGTTCAAACTTTGCCTTCCAGGTGACATTTTCTCTGAACATTCTGCTTATTAGTATAGTCCTTAACATTCCCTAACCTCTTTCCCAATGTGTTCTCCAAGCTCATCAGCTTCTAAGGTACTTGTTCCTTTTCCTCCCACTAGAATGAAATTCCATGAAGGCAAGGATTTTGGAGTTTGTTTTGTTCACTAAAGTTTCCCCAGTGCCCAGCACAGAGCCTGACACATAGAAGGCACTTGAAAAATATTAACTAATTAACAAGTATTTAACTTGAAAAATATTAACTGATTCAACATAAGAATTCATCTACTGTCATTTTTTCTGTATTCGGCCAATTCACCAAGACCACATATTCATGTCCCTTTGTGCTGTAAGCCCTGTGGTAATTGGTGGTGCCAGCTTCTAGCTGGACGCCCATTTGAATGTTATACATACCTGTTTCAACCAGACATTTGTTGTCATTAACTGATTTTTCTCATCCTATGAATAAAAATTTAAATAAGATTATTGCAATTATAGAAGCAATTCTTTAAATAAAATAAGAAGCGTTATGTTTTTATACAAATATCCTCCATATAGAACTGACATTCTGCTTATCACTCTGGTTCTCTAGAAAATTAGTATTCTTTTCCAGCCTAATTTCACATTATTCCTTTCAACATACTCTGTACTTCAGATAAACTACCTTAAAGCATACCGTTGGCATTTTTAGATTTAACATTCATGGTATCAACTACTATAATTTCCTCAAATTTAAGACAGAATCTAAGATACATAGCATTATTTTATTTGCTTAGCACCAAAAGGAAGAGAAGCTATCAATGAATTGCAAGCTGTCATTAATTATAAGATATACTCTAGTTCAGAGATGGCAAAATATGGAAAAGCATGCATCTTAGGATTAGTGAGACATGGCATTTCTGTACATTGTCAAGGGACTATTCCTTGTGGGCAAGAATTTGAACTTCCCTGTGGGTCTGCTATGTAAAAAAAAATACGGATGTCTAAGCATTTCACAAAGCCTTTAGGTCTTACTTTTCTAGAGAACCTGGGGTCCTTAAGACTTGTCACTTATTCCTCCAGCTGTCAAATCTTTGCTGTGCCAGCCCTTCCCCAAATTTTCAAGGCCTAATTAAAGTGATATTTTCTCCTACCAAGTTTTACTGAAATTTCATGGAGTCAAATGAACAAGCCAAATTCACCATAATCAACAACCACAAGTACACTATGTATAGGATATGAGGCTAAGCAAAGAGAGCCACAGCGAAGAGAGGCAGCTGGGGAGAGAATACAGTGTAAATAGCTCAGGTAGCTGAAGGTTACCCTTTCCCTATTCTATCCCAACAGCAGGAGGAGACTTGAAGGAAGCACATCCCTAGGGACAAAAGCAGCTGTGTGACATCCACACATAGGAGGAATGATTGCTAGGAATCAGCATAGCCATCCATCTTAAGATGTAGTTCCCAAGAGCAATTTTCTTTAATTAAAACACAAGAGTTCAGGGGTAGGGATGTAGCTCAGTGGTAGACTGGCATACACAAGGCCCTGAGTTCAATCCTCAGCACCATCCAAAAGCAACAGAACACAACAACAGAAAGAGCTGGAGAGGACCTAGAGACCTCATCTACTGTAATTCCTTCCTTCATTCTCCAGGTATAGAAACTGGCCCAGTGAAGTGACTTACCTAAAATCACACTAGTCAGTGATAGAACCAATTCTAAAATTTGAATCTCCTAAATCTAAACCTTATCCCACCAGCTCTACTGCCCACCCCAAAGTCACACACCATCCAGAATAACTGCTAATCCCAGTATGAGAATATGCCTGTTCCACAAAAGTTCTAAACAGAGGTATTTATATTTAGGAAAGTTCTGGTAAATATAATTCTTATGATGCTATAGGGCAGTAGGTCATCTTTAAAAGTGATGAATGAACCCTTTTTCTAGAAATGTGAGCACATATTTTGCTCTCTGATTAGAACCCAATCAAACCTTGGTATTTTCAACTACCCATAATGCAGATTAAAAAATAATTCATAAGGAGTTGAGGTTGTAGCTCAGTGGCAAAGTGCTAGCCTAGCATGTGTGGGGCACTAGGTTCAATCTTCAGCACAATATAAAAATAAATAAATGTGTCCATCTATAACTAAAATTTTTTAAAATAATAATCCATAAATTTGCAACTAGCCTCAAAGATGAGGCAGCTAACCCATTACCATAGGGGATGCATCCTAATTTAATGTGGCTGCAGTTATCTCCTGAGCATCTATAATGTGCTCTGCAGAGGGAGGATGCAACAAAATGAAACTGAGTGAGGACAAGTGTGGACAATACCCAGGAGGAAAACACAAAATAAGTGGAGAAGATTAAACTACATGTAAGCATATCAGAAGTTTAAGTGGTAATAGTTTTTTAACCTGATCATAAAAATATAATATTAAAACAAACAAATAAACATGGAGATATTTTTAAAAACAAGCAGGCACAGTTGCACACGCCTGTAATCCCAGCGACTCTAAGAGGTTGAAGCAGGAGGATCCCAAGTGAAAGCCAGCCTCAGCAACTTTGGGAGAACCTGTCTCAAAATAGAAAACTAAAAAGGGCCGGGGATGGAGCTCAGTGGTTAGGCACCCCTGGGTTCAACCTCTGGTACTGAAAAATAAATAAATAATAAATAAATACATAAAGAGCAGGATAACATGTAGGAAATAAGGTAGAAATCTACAGAAAGTTCAAGGGAGAGCTACCAGCATGATTATAGAATTGAGAGACCCCAATGATGAAAGGATCATAAAAGCACTTAGAAGCAATTCAATGAACTTTCTGTTTTCAACCCCAGGACCAGTCACCCTCATCTTCTATGACTCCAGACCCTCTTGTAGTCACTGACATTCCAACTTCTCTACTGGACTAACTTTATTCTTTTTTTTTTTTTTCTTACAGTACTGAAGATTTAAAAGGGGTGCTCTACCATTGAGCCACATCCCCAGTCCTTTATATTTTTTTTTATTTTGAGACAAGGTCTTGCTAAGCTGTTCAGGCTGGCCTTTAACTTGTAATTATCCTCCCTCAGCATCCCGTGTTGCTGGAATTATAGCCATGCACTGCTGTGGTTAATTTTACCACTTTCTACAAATGTTCCTCAAGGATCAGGTTCCTACTTTTCTTCACTAGCTTTAAAAACTAACCAAAGTTTCAACACTCATCCACAGCCCGCAATTCCAAATTGATATCCTTAGTCTCTCTTTCACCTCAGAGCTGTTCTTGACTTCCCCAGGGCTAGTGAACATTTTCTTTGGAATGAACACCTCAGATCACAAAGTCATCATCCCCTCTGCCATACTCCCATAGCAATCTTTCAGGTTTCTGTTCCTCTTCCACTGTAGGCACCTAGGGTTCAAAATGTGCCACCTGGCCTGGCAAGGCGGCACATGCCTGTAATCCTAGTGGCTCAGGAGGCTGAGGCAGGAGGATCGAGAGTTTAAAGCCAGCCTCAGCAACTCGTCGAGACCCTGTTTCTAAATAAAATACAAAAAAGGGCTGGGGACCTGTCTCAGTGGTCAACCACCCTAGGTTTAATCCCTGGTACAAAAAAAAAAAAAAGTGATACCTCCTTCCACATTCAGTGGTCAAGTTCTATTATCCCCTCTATGTGACCTAACTTGTCTCTCAAGTTTCTTCAAAACCATGTATGTTACTCACTGATCTTCTAGAGAACTGCTTTTGCCATATCTAGTGCCTGTTGGATCTCTCACCCATTCAGCATTTACCATGTGCCAGACTCGGGGTTGGACACAGGAATAAAGCTAGCCCTGCTCTGCAGAGCACACAAGCACCAGTGGTGGAGTGGGCACTATATCAAAGGGCAGGAGACTACCAGAGGACCAGACTGTCTTGGAGTCTGGGAAAATTTCACAAAGGGTCTGACAGTGCATTGACCTTGAGGAATAAATGCCTCATGCCAGAAGCAAAAAATCATCAAGCAGAAGAAATGGCAGAAACAAAGGCAAGGTGGTATGCAGGGATCACTCCTCACCTGCTCAGCCATTCAGTCACACCATTTTCCTATGTAGCAGGGCTCCCAACATTAATCTGATCTAAACAGCTCCACAAAAAGGCTCAGTATCACTGACAAAGCTATGATTATACTGTTCCTTCTTTTTAAAAATATTTTTAGTTGTTGATGGACCTTTATTTTATTTATTTGTGGTGCTGAGAATCAAACCCATTGCCTCATACATGATAGGCAAATGCTCTACCACTGAGCCACTGAGTCACAACCCCAGCCCATTGTTCCTTTATTTTTTTTTTTAGAGAGAGAATATCTTTTTTGTAGATGGACACAACACAAAGCCTTTATTTATTTATTTTAATGTGGTGCTGAGAATCAAACCCGGGTTCCACCCCCCGTGCTAGGCGAGCGCTCTATCGCTGAGCCACAATCCCAGCCCCATTGTTCCTTCTTATTAAAGTATTTTTACTCTCTTCCATGTCAGCTGACTATAAGGCCAGCTCAACTGGCACCTCCTCTATCCTGCCTTCTTTGATAATCTCAATCATCATGATAGATCTGAAGTCCCAGCTATTCATGCCATCATGATTTAGTACTTCAGTATTCTGAAGTGACTCTACAATGGCCTCAACCAGAAAGAAAGATCTTTGAGAGCAAGCCCCACTTTATCTTACTTCCTACTTTCCTATCTTTATTTAATATCTCCCCATACCATCTAGCAAAGGGTCATATGTATTCACTGATTTCTCTGGAAGCAACTAGGTGACATATATCATCATGCTAGGAATCAAACCCAGGGCCTTGATGAACAAACACTGTACCACTGAGCTACACCTCCAACCCCTAACTGCCTTTCTTAAGAAAAGGAGAAATTCAGATATTTGTGTACAAACATCATCATTGTTATTTACAATAAGAAAACTGAACAATAATCTTCTAACAATAGGAGAATGGATTTTTAAAAAGGAATCTCATGTAGCCATTATAGTAGGGAAAAAGTCAGCAATCAAAATCGTATCTAAAAATATTCTAATTGTATCATACACACACACAAAAAAAATAAATAAATAAAACTGTCTAAAACAACCTAACAGGTTAACATTAGTCATCTCTGGGTGGTAGAATTAGAATATATTTCATTTGTATCTTTTGCACTTTAAAAATTCTCTATAAACTGTGTGCAGTGATATATGTCTGTAATCCCAGCAACTGGGGAGGCTGAGGCAGAGGAACACAAGTTGAAGATAAGTCTCGGCAACTTAGTAAGATCTTTTCTCAAAATAAAAAATAGAAAGGGCTGAGGATGTAGTTGAGTGGTAAAGTGCCTCTAGGTTCAAGTTCCAGTACCAAAAACAAAAGAAAAAGAAAAAGAAACCAACTCTACAGAAATCATGCATTACTTCTCTAATCAGAAAATAATGACACATCTATAAATGTTATTTTAAAAAATACATATGTGAAAAAAATACATATATATATATATATATATATATATATATATATATATACACACACACACACACACATGTTGACCTATTCTGGGAACATAGCAGGGAAATAATGATTAGCATGACCAGGACAAGAAGAAACTACCTTAAAAATTAGTGTGAATTTTTAGTTTAAATAGGAAGGATCTCTTGGACAGTGAAAGTTATCAAGGAAACTTATTCTCCCTTGTGAATGTCACATGGAAAAGTCTCTGTAATGTTGTAGTGTGATACTGAGACAATGTCCTGTTGAGATACTTTTTGGACCTAAGAATATATAATTCTAAAACTGTTTGTTCCTCTTAAATTTTTTGATCTATGTTTAACACATTTAAAGAGAAACTTTAATATAAAATGTTTCAGTATCTTTGCATTTGTGAAAGACAAACTTATTATCATTGCCAAATGAGATAAAACAATTTCCAAATTATACAAAACCATATAAACACATTATGTCTGTGGCACAGTAATTATTTTTTCCTGAGGAGTTCCTTGAGGAAAGGCACACAACAGACTCTCATGAAATTGGTGTGATAAGGAATATGTAATAATATGCACACCTACCACATCCACTAATTGAGATATTGCAAGGCCAAACTTGATTTTTATTTTGTCATTCAGGTATTCCACAGGACGAACCCATCTTTCATAGTCTTGAAATAAATCCTTAAACAAACTGTCTTCATGTCTTGCAACAGAGGATGGTTCAGATAATCCTGTGTATAACAAATTTTTAGAAGTTATTTGTATTTTAAGAAATTAAATATTATTAAAGATTCAACTATTATGAATGCAGATTTTAAATGGAATATTAATACAAACACTTGTGATCAAATAAGGGTCATTCTGGCTCAGATATAATTCTTAAGTTAAATCAGATTACCTATGGAAATATGCTGAGTTCTTTAAGAAACAGTACAAATACAGCATAATTTAAACTCTAAATACTAAGTAAAGGGGATATAGCTCGGTGGTAGAACTCTTGACTAGCAAGCAGAAGGCCCTAGGTTCAGTCAACAGCACCACAAAAACAAAAAGCAAAACAAAACAAAAACTACATAATAAAAGCTTTTCTATTGTCAGAGCTACAGAGATTGCTGAGAATAAAATTCCACACCTAGAAAACAAATACACTGAAGCAAAGTCTTTTTATCAAGTGTAAATTTAAAATAAATATGTTAGTGGCATAATTTTATATATGAATATTGAATGAATTATTTATATTTGTCATATATTTGCTACACTTTTGTATAAAATCACTTTAGGACCTAATAGGAAAAACATTTACTTCAAACAAAAATGTCACTGGGCCAGACACAGTGGCCATGCCTGTAATCCCAATGACTCAGGAGGCTGAGGGAGGAAGATTTTGAGTTTAAAGCCAGCCTCAGCAATTTAACAAGGCCCTAAGCAACTCAGTGATACCCTGTCTCCAAATAAAATATTTTAAAAAGGGTTGGGGATGTGGTCAGGGGTAAAGCACCCCTGGGTTCAATCAAAAAAGTCACTGGTGCGGCTGGGATTGTGGCTCAGTGGTAGAGCACTTGCTTAGCATGTGTGAGGCACTGGGTTTGATTCTCAGCACTGCATATAAATAAATAAAATAAAGGTCCATTGAAAACTTAAAAAAAGTCACTGGTTTATTTATCATCAAGTACACAAACACAGGAATTATAGTAGCTATCAGAGATGATCCTTCTCCAATGTAAAAGAAAGCATTTGAAAGAAAACTAGCACTCTGACAGAATTCTCTTTTTATTATGGTAGACCATGATTTCTGTACAAAGCTATTAAAAAGTTATCTGGTGACACTAACTGAAAGAAATCCATTTCCTAATTCTCCTTCACTGCCTATTATTTCATTAATATAGCAGCCTCAAGGATTTATGTCCTGCTTCCCTGAGCAGTGCAAGATTTCATCTATAAATCCCACAGTTTGTGTCACCCCTCCCATAAATGTCTCCTTATGAGGGAATGCAGCACAGCATTTGCCATTTAGATTAAATTAGAATACTGTACACTGGAGAGTCATCTTAATATTTAACAGCTGTTGATTTTAGAGCTTTAAGTTAAAAGAACATTACTGAACCATTTTTCCTCTTTTAATCCTATTTTAAAGATTTATCATCTCTGAAATGCCAAAAATTTAAGGTTGTTTAAATGATAAAAATAAATAGAATGTCTTTCAATTGCATCTAAGAACCATTTTTGCCTTGGGGTGGAGGGGACAAACTAGTTTGAATTGTTGTCTCAAATTGTGTTTGAAAGATAGATTAGGTAGCGTATACATAAAATAATTCAATCCCAGCATTCTGCCCAACGTTCAAGATACTGCTTGGTAAATACCTCTGTAATACGTCCAATACTAGAAATATCATTTTCTTAGCACACTTTACAGAAATGGCAGGCACAAATGCCAGTAGTATTTTTTAGCACAACCTCGATGGTGAACTCAATTCTACTTAGTGGTTATGCTTTTTTAGTTGGTTCTAAATGTTTTAAGTTTATGCTGCTTGGAATGTTAAAAAGGAGACAATACAATGTATTCCCCTCATTTCACAAATGGGATATGACCAGAAACACCAATGCTACAGAGCTTATTAACTGCAGAATTCTGAAGGACATCCAAGGCTCCCATCAGCCTCTTGCTCTTGTCACCCTAATATCTTCCATCTTGAGTCAGCTTTCTAGAAAAGCATAATTAGTGCCTTATCCCCTGAGAGCTTTATCCCACATGGATCTTTGCTCACTCATTCATTGTTTATTGGACATGCGCCTGGTATCAGGTGCTGGGAACACACTGATAAACAAAACAGCATCCACATTTGCAGTCCAGCAGGAAAGAGTGACACAAACAAACTCAAACTGAAAATACTTTTTAAAAAGTTGTTGTGAATAATTAACATTTGCTTATACTACTCAAAATACATACATCAAATCAGTGACTATCGACCTGGGTTACTTAGAATTTACTTTTCACACAATGTTTGACCACATTATATACTATTTTGTATGATTTGCTATGTACTATTTTTTTATTATATGAATCTCGTATCTCCAAAGATAGCAATGTCCTGAAATTCAGGAACATTTCTACATTTTGACATCACTATAGCTAAGTATAAATCTGGTCACACTGGTTACTTAATGCATTTTAGTTTTCCCTCCCTTCTTTGACTTGAAAACACTTGATTTTGATAAAAAGGAAACCTGGAGGAAATACTTGCAAATTGTATATCTGGTAAAGGGTCTATATTTAAAATAAAAAACGATTATAAATCAATGATAAAAGACTCAATAAGCCAATCAATAACTCAAAGATCAAAACTGAACTTTAAAATGGGCAAAAGGTTTGACAAGACATTTCTTCAAATAACAATGGCAATAAACACATGAAAAAATGTTCAACCCCTTTAGCTATCAGGAAAATGCAAACAGTGAGATTCATACACAACAGAATATCAATAATCAAAAAAGATATAATAAATAAATGCTGGAGAGGATGTAAAGAAATTTGGACTCTCATGATATAATCGCTATGGAAAGCAGTCTGGCAGTTTTTCAAAAGGCTAAGTATCGATTTACCAAAAACTCAGCAATTTCAAATGAAAACAGATGTTCACATAAATACCTGTATATGCATGTTCACAACATTACTCATACTAGCTAAAAGCTGAAAACAACTCAAATGTCCATCAAATGAAAAATGGGTAGAAAAAAAATGTGGTATATCCATATAATGGAATATTTGGACATAAAAAGGAATGGATTACTGATACATAATAGAACATGGATAAATCTTGAAAACACTAGGTGAAATAAGCCAGTCAAAACAGACAACATATTGCATGATTCCATTTATATGAAATGTCCAGTATAGACAAGTCTATAGTTACAAAAAGTAGATTAGTGCCAGGTGTGGTAGGGCACACTTGTAATCCCAATTACTCAGAAGACTGAGGCAAGAGGATGGCAAGTTTAAAGAAGCCTGGACAATTTAGCAAGACCCTGTTTTAAAATAATTTTTTTTTTTTTTTTTTTTGGTACCGGAGATTGAATTCAGGGGCACTCAACCACTGAGCCACATCCCCAGCCCAATTTTGTATTTTTATTAGAAACAGGGTCTCACTGAGTTGCTTAATGCCTCGATGTTGCTGAGGCTGGCTTTGAACTTGTGATCCTCCTGTCTCAACTTCACTGAGGATTACAGACATGTGCCACCGTGCCCAGCCTTAAAATAAAATTTTAAAGGGTTGGGGTTATAGCTCAGTGGTAGAGCATTTGCCTACCACATTCAAAAAAGCTTTGGGTTCCATCCCTAGCAACGAAGAATTTTTAAAAAGAGCTAAGTAACCAGGTACGATGGCATAAACCAGTAATCCTAGTGACTCAGGAAGCTGAGGCAGGAAGATCACAAGTTTGAGGCTGTGTCTGAACTGAGACCCTGTCACAAAAACAAAACAAAACAAAGGAGTGGGGATAGCTGGGGATGTAGCTCAGTGGTAGAGCACCTACCCACCATTGCATGAAACCCTGGGTTCAATCCCCATTACTGAAAAAAGACAAATAATGATTGCATAGTGTTGAGGAGGGAATGGTTTTGGAGGAGATAATGAAAATGTTCTACAAAGCTCATTGTGATAGCTATACATCTCTTTGACTATGCTAAAAACATTTAACTTTAAATTGGTGAATTATATAACGTGGATTATATGCAATAAAGCTGTTGAAAGGAATAAGGAAAGGTCTTTATGACTGAGAAGCAGATGTACAATTCAGGAATAAATCAGAATTAAGAAAATGTAAGAGTACAGATAACATTTAAAATTTGAAAAACTTTAGTTGAACATAGTTAATTCATAAGTTTTCCTGTATTTTTAAAAAGCTCATTTCTTCTTTTTTTTTAGTTGTAGATGAACACAATACCTTTTATTTTTTTATGAGGTGCTGAGGATTGAACCCAGTGCCTCACATGTGCTAAGCAAGTACTCTACCATTAAGCCACAACTCCAGCCCAGTTTTCCTGTATTGATAATATAAATAAACCTAATATGCAATGCCACTGCATTTATTTTCCTTACTCTTAAGTGTTTATACCTTTCCCAGGAATCATCTATTTTTGATAATTTTTTGTTTTACTTAAAATACCTTTTTTGATCAATGCTTTTAATAAAATATGGTATGTAATAAAAATGTCAACTACACACTTGAAAAATATCAATAGCTAACACACGCACACCCTTTATAAGTGAAGAGAATGAAGTTCTAAGAGGTGGTTAATTGCCCCAAACCATATAGCTGAAGTCAGGTTTGTCGACAAGGCCTATATCAACTGATCCCACCTTTTTAGGGTAAATGCCAGGTAGTCACAGAACAGTAATGGCAATGCAGATTAGTCTCTTTCCCCTTATTCAATAGGCTTCTTGAGTCATATAAAATGAAATTAGGGGCTTTTTATGTGTAAAGATACAGAGAAACATTTATTTTCTTGATCATAGACATGCCCCCTCCCCAGAGAGAGGCATGCTTTTCTTAGAGAAAGGTTTTGACAACCCCCTTGATAACAATGGTCCAAAGGATTAGATAAAGACAAATTCTGTTGCTTTCAAACACCAAAGGTACAAATACAAATTGCTGCTGACTTTTTATTTTCCTGGTATTTTATTTGGAGACAGGGTCTCACTAAATTGCTGAGGCTGGTCTTGGTGCAATTCTC